CCCAGAGCCTCTGCTCCAGCTCCCCTCCAGCCCAGAGCTGCTCCCCAGCCATCTGCAAGCTTCCTCACTTCCTCTGAACTTGCTGGGTAGTCTCCTGTCTTTACAATTGCAACCTGACCCGACCCTGAACTCCCCAGGTCCCCCTCCCCAGCCCTCCTGTCCTTTTCTTTTTTCCCATGGCACTTCTAGCCCTTCAGCACACTGCAGAGTCTCTTATCTGGTTGTTCAGGGTCTCACCGCCCTGCTGGAAGGCGAGCTCCACAAGGCCCCTTTGTTCTGTTCATGAAGGTATCTGAAGCGCCCAGCCACCTGGCAGACAACTCACTGAATGAACTAAGTGAACCCTGACCTCAGAGCCCGGAATGGTGCGGGAAGAGCACGGACAGTCTGCCACAGGCACTCTTCTCTCATCCCCTGCTGATACACTGACTGTCCCCCGGCCGCAAGACCTGTTGGCACCTCAGCTGGCACTCCCTCCTAGTTCTTAGGTCAGTCCAGTGGCCTGCAGCATAAGGACGGGGCTGATACCTGCACCCAAGCTTCACCCTAGGGAGTGTGCAGGCAGACACAGGTCACCCCAGGGTGACTGGCCCAAAGGCTCCACTGGCAGCAGCTGCCCCCAGAGCAGGGAGAGCAAGATGGCTCTGTCCTCAGTTCCAACTTCATTCAGTCATCTGGGGCCTCTGAGAGTGTCATAGTGAGAAAACGTGCATGGCCCAGCCTGGCTTGGCAAGACATCGCACCAGGTGCTGTCTGGGGCTGAAGAGGGGCAGGAGGGGAAGGCGCGTCACCTAGCTGCCCTCCCTGCAGTCTGTAGGAAGAGCAAGGCCTCCGGGGCAGTGCCTTCCACAAGGATGCACGGGATGAAGGAAATATTCCAATACTCCGCGTCCATGCTGTGGCCTTCATTCAGCAGCCGGGGCCGCAAGTAGCTACTGAGCACTTAAAATGAAGCTAGCATGACTTAGGAATGGAACTTAATTAATTTTAATTACTTTTAAGTTAAAATAGCTTCCTGTGGAATCTGATTACCTTTGAGAAATGGAGTATCTCCTGCCACATCAGTAAACAAGGATGTCACAGGCACCAGTCATTGTAGCCCTCCAAGGAAAGCCAGTGAGCCCTAAGGGAACTCAGGAGAAGAATACCTGCTATCTGCAGCCATCAAAATGCAGCCACTTCCTGAGGTGAGCCCCAAGGACGCTCAAGATGCGAAAAACACAGGATACTTGTCCCAGAAAGCTGAGGTGCATATCCAAGGAGTGATTTCAGTGAGCCCAGACGCTTACATCTTCCCATACATAGAAAAGTGCAAAATTCTTTAACTTGGGATATCTGGTTTTCTTTAACAATAATCTTTTGATGTTCAGACTATATACCCTTGGTTGCAAAAATTTCTATATAACCTGGCTCCTCCCTTTGCTTCCTCAGAGCAGTTCTCTCAGGGTTACTTGAGATGCTGCTGCCTCCTGGGCTTGAAGTCCTAAAAATTCCCACTGAATAAAAGATAACTCTCAACTTTTAGGTTTTGAATATTTTTTAAGTCAACACCTTACTGGACACAGCAGCTTTAGACAAAGGGTCCCCAGTGCTCTGCTGACATCTGAGATTTAACCTGTCTGCAGAAATGCAGGCGGCACCCACCCTAAAGATGGACATCTTCGCCCCAGGCCTACACTGCCAGGCTTCAGAAACACCTGCGGTGTGGGGTCAGGCTGGAGCCACACCGTGGGCCCTCAGGCTGCTCTCACCTCCTTGGGAGAAGCCTGCTGGAAGTCAAGGTCCACAGTGGGTGGAGCCTGATGCTAACAGCTGCTTCAAGCCACTTCAATCCTGTTAGACTCTTTGCGACCCCATGGACTGTGGCCAGCCAGGTTCCTCTGTACCCGGGATTCTCCAGGCAATAATACTGGAGTGGGTTGCCATGCCCTTCTCCAGGGGATCTTCCGTCTCTTATGTCTCCTACATTGGCAGGCGGGTTTTTTACCACTAGCGCCACCTGGGTGTCCCCAAACCCACTCCCAGCAGAGAGCTCACAGAAGGGGGAGGAAGAAGGAAGCCATCCAAGGTCAGAGTCTCACTCCCCAATGGTCAGAGGATACCAATGCCAGGCACTGTGTGGGTCTGAGGTGGCACCCCAGCCCCCTATGTGGGTCGCAAGTGGGGAGTGTGGGCCCCCTCCCCCCAACACAGGAACAGCAAATGGTAAAAGAAAATAGAAAAACAGAACGTTTACCTGTTGTGGACTTTTAGGTAATATTTGCTGAGGAACTTTTTATGACATGTGGGGCATTCAACTGGCACCGCTGTACCTTTTCTGTTCTCAGCAGGCTTGGCTGCCAGGGAACCTGCACTCCGGGTCGGCTCGGCAGCACAGGGCTTTCTGATTACGTTTGCTTTCCTCTTGGTCGGAACAGTCTCAGTTTCAGAAACATAATCGCCATCCCCGTCGTCCTCAACTTGAACTACCACCTCCCACTAGAGCAGAAGAGGCAGCAGGAGGGGGTGAGGTCACCAAACTGAATCAGCAGGGGTTCTGGGGATGGGTCTACAGGGTGGCCAGCTCCATCCAGTTTCATCCCAAGTCCCAACCCAGGCCTGTCCCAGGACCTGTCTGTTCCTTCATCAGTGCCTGTTCCCTTCAAGGTCCCAGGGCAGCAGCAACAGCCCAATCCCAGGTTTGAGGGCAGGAGCTCTGTTTGTGGGTAACTGGAAGTCCGCCTGGATTTCACTTCCCTGGGGGAACACCTAATGCCACCCCCATCGGCCCCAAGAAGCTGCCAACCACAGACACAACTGGCAGGAAGGTCAGCCTGAGGCTGTGGGATGGAGCTTCCTGCATTTGGAGACATCACATCCATCTCTGCAACACCATGGACTGTAGCCCATCAGTCTCCTCTGTCCATGGGATTTCCCAGGCAAGAATACTGGAGTGGGTTGCCATTTCCTTCTCCAGGGGATCTTTCTGATCCAGGGATTGAACCGCATCTCCTGCCTTGACAGGCAGATTCTTTACCACTGCGCCACCTGGGAAGCCCTATATTTGGAGAAAGCCTGTTCTAAATCCACAAAACAGACTCTACCTTTAGGTCCAGATTACCCCTGAAAAGTATCAGTCCCTTCTCCCCATCTCCCCTTCTCCAACACCCTGAGCACAGTACCTCATTAGTCCCGCCCTGCAGCTGGACACCTTCAGCTTCGAAGGGCCTTGGGGGCACTTTGCAATCCTCAGGCTCCTTGTCCCCAGGGGGACAGAGCTTCAGGGCCTGCTTGAGTTTCCCACGGAGAAAGGACGGGCTCTCACTCTGAGCAGGGAGGCCAAGCCGGGACCTCTGGGGACTGAGACTACCGCTGAGCTCCGAATCCCTGGGGATTTGACCCAGAGTCCTAGAAACTTCCTCCTTCTCCACACCCGCGGACTCCTTGGGGTGGCTGTTCACATCCCGGGGGGCAGGTTTCCCAAGTCCACTCTGGCCACTTGGTGGCTGTCCCACCGCGGGTTTGGGCTTGAAGCTCTGGCACAACTCCACAGCCTCTGGCACTCGCAGCTCCCTGGCTGCCAGGAGCACCTGATCCCGGTTCCCCGAGGTGAGGGCGAGGTGGCCGGTGTAGAAAAAGTCCAGCAAGAGGCCAAAGATCTCGGCGAAGCCCGCAGGGAGGACGACACTGCCCCCTGAGCCATCCCCGTAGAGGCTCTGGAAGAAGTGGCTGCAGCAGGCAAGAACACTCCAATGTGCCTTGAACACCAGGCCCCCCACATCCAGGGTGGCATCGCAGTACTGGCCCCTCTCCCGCTGCTTGTTGAGCTCCTGCAGAACCCTCACGCTGTGCTGGACGAAGGAGCCGTCCATGGTCCCTCTGAAGGGAAGAAACACGGCAGTGACACTCTGACCAGTCCAACCCAGAGGCAGCAAGAGAAAGGCCCTGGAGCTGAGACCAGGGTAAAGGGAGACAGATTCTATTCATTCACGTTTATTATAACCAGGACTTAGATCAAGGTTAGAAGGTGAAAGTTGAGGCAGGAAGGGACTGAGAGCCTCCCTGGGGCGGGGTCCAAGCAAACAGGCCATATCGCCGGTGGGCAGAGAGTGTGGGTGACGGGGGTGAGGGAGGACTAGGTGGGGACACAGTCGGGAAAGGGTGCCGGTGGGAGGAAATCAAAAGTTTGGGAAAAGAGGCGCTGAATCAGCGCGAACTTATCAGCCTGGCAGAGCGAGAGGACCGGAGGCAGGGGAGGACAGCGGCTGCAGACAGGTGAGAGGAACCCACGCCGCGCCCACACGTCTCGAGCAGCCGGGCGGAAGGCGGCCGCGGTCACACTCCGTCAGCAGTCACGGCGGCCCACAGCGCCCCCTCCCTCGTCCCTTGCCCCTCGACCTCCTCACCCTGGTCCATGCTCCCTACGCATACCCCTCCAGACCCGAGCCAGGTAGCCCACACAAGCCCACTGACCAACTGCCCCGGCCGTACGTGCCCGGCGAAAGTGCAGAGACGCCGCCGTCGCCGCCGCCGGACGTGACGTCAGGGCGCGCCGGCCGGGGCGGGACGCCTCGGTGGGCGCAGGCCTTTACCTCCTGCCCCTGGAGGCGATACTACATAGATAGCAGCCAATGGGATAGAGAGAGAGGTGGGACCAGTCCAGTTCCCCCCGTCCCCCGGCATTGGGCCCGCCTCCCTGGGTTGCCTAGCAACGCCAAGCTGGACATTCGGTCTCTTGCCCGCTGGGAGTTCCGAGGTTCCGCCTGCGGTTAGCCGGGCCGCACAGCGCCCTGAGGCTTGACGAGGCATCGCTCTACCGTCGCCCTAGAGAGGAAGCGCAACGAAGACGCACATTTCACTTTTATTGGCAGCCGGCGCAGCTCGGACTGAGCCCTCCCGTGGGTTTACACTTCGCACTCCAAGGCTGAGGAGCCTCCCGGACACCCCAGGTCCTGGACGCCCCAGTTCCACCTTCGCCCCTGAGTCCACCCCTCCAGGCTTGACCATGCTCGATCCAGTGGTCAGGTGGAACCACAGCGCCTGGTGTAGTCCTGGATGGAGGCCTGGAAGTGCTCTGTGCTGTTGAGGTCCGGGCGGCACAGAATCACGTAGCACTTGGGGAGGAAATAACCGCTGAAGCAGCCACTCAAGCTGCTCAGCATGGCCAGCGCGTTGACCGCGGGCAGATACTTGCCCTGATAGATAGTGGCCATGGTGAAGAAGGCGATCCAGGACACGAAGTTGAGGAGCAAGCTGAAGGTGACATATTTGGTCTCATTGTAGTTCTCTGGCAGGTCCTTGCCCAGGTAGCTGCAGGCAAAGGCGCTGACAGAGAGGAGGCCATTGTAGGTAAAAGCCAGCATGAAGCCCAGTGAGTTAGCCTCTGTGCAGCCAAGCACCACCAGTTGAGGGAAGTGTTTGTATTCCCTGGTCGGCAGTGGGGTCCACACTGCAAGCCAAATTAGGCAGATAAGCAGCTGGGTTGTTGAGCTGATCATCACAAACAGGCCAGCACCATGGTTTTGGACCCATGCACGGAAGAAGGTGGGTAACCTGGCAGAAAACTTGAAGATGAACACAAGTTGGAAGGAGCGGACCGTCAGGCAGGACAGGAAGATGGCAAAACCGAGGGAAAAGAGGCCTTGGCGCAGTAAGCACGTGGGCAGTGTGGGCTCCCCAAAGAAGCCATAGAGGCCCCAAGTCCCCCCTGCCAGGGAGCCCAGCATGAGGAAGCACAGTCGGCCCCCAGCTGACCTCACCACAGGGGTGTCTAGGTGCCAGGCAAACAGGCCAGCAGTCCCAGCCACCACCACCAGCAGCATGGTATTAGCTGCCAGCAGCACCAAAGAGACTGGCTCGTGCCACGTCAAAAACACCACGGTGCGTGGGAAGCAGGTCTGGCTTCTCTCAGGTGCCCACTCTTCTTTCCCACAAGGCCGGCATCTATAGGGGTCTGGAAGAGAAGGTGAAGAGGGTTCCTGAGAGCCAGGTGAGGACAGCAGGAAAGGGAGGCTGTACAACCCTTGCATTGGAAAAGCCCCTAATGCTGGGAAGGATTGAGGGCAGGAGGAAAAGGGGGCGACAGAAGGTGAGATGATTGAATGGCATCATCGACTCAAGGGACATGGTGGTGGTGGATTAGTCGCTAAGTCGTGTCCAGCTCTTGCGACCCCATGGACTGCAGCCTGCCAGGCTCCTCGAATCCATGAGTTTGAGCAACTCCGAAAAACAGACGAAGGGAAAGACAGGGAAGCTTGGCGTGCTACAGTCCACAGGGTCGCGAAGAGTTGGACACGCCTTAGTGACTTGCACAATAACAACAACAACCCTGCAAGGTGCTGGTGGGGCTGTAGCACAGGAACTGGGCTCTGCCAGGCACAGCAAGATAAGGGTAGCCCTGAGTGAGAGCCCCCAGGCCATGTGTTTCCTTAATATGCCTGTGTTAATTACAGATCATGGAGACACTTGGGTCAGTTCTGTGTGACTCCTGATCCCAGAAGGAGTTGGCAAGCCAAGAGGTCATAGAGAGGGCCTTACCCTGTAGCTCTGCCCGCACCACCCTGAGGCTGTGATCCAGGGCAAGCAGCCAGCCCCAAAGGAAGGGCATTTTCATCTCTCCCACAGCTCCTCTCTCCCTAGCCAAATCCACCTTCTTGAGCTGCCTCTCTGTGGTTTCTCTGAGTTGAGTTGATTCCCTCAGTATGGAAGAGATGCATTCCCACGCCCACCAAGATGGTAAAAGAAGGCATGTGGCCCCTGGAGTCCAGCTCTGGGCTGAGCCCCTTAGCTGTCTGCCCTCTGACCATGACCTTGCATCGCGGGATGGAAGAACTTTTTGTCCTGCCGCAGACATGCTAGTGTCTGCATTCAAGCCAAGCTGTTCAAGGCACCGGGTGTCACTGGCACGGTCAATAGATGGGATTTCATACAGATAAAATGGGAAGAAAAAAGGAAAAAAAAAAAGAGCAATATGGGAGGGTACAAAGGGAATGAAACTCACATCTGTTTGGATAAAGATGCTGAGTTTAGGATAAAATTGTCTCTGTAGGTGCAGGGGTTTGGAGCTCTCTTAAAAAGAACACAGCTAAATATGAGGTCTTCAACTGCTTGTTTCTTTCTGCTTGATCAGAACTCAGGTCTGGTGGAAGGTGTCCTCCAAACTGTCCCTAACTGGCAGCAAAGTCACCAGAGTCCTGGTTCTGCACACGTGTGGCCCAAGGGAGGTGCTTCCATCTGCTCTACAGACCCTAGGAGTGCTGGTGGTTCACCCATTAATCACTGGTCACTCACCACTCTTATTGAGGAAGGTCCCGGCCTCACAAGGCACACACTCAAAGCAGCAATGGTGGAAACCTATGATCACTCTCTGGTGGCCTTCAGGACAGTCCCTGGAACACACAGACGTAGGCACCTGCAAGAAGCCATGGTGTTCTGCAGCCATGTGGAGATGCTCATATCAAGGGACCCTCACACATGGGATGGAAAACGGGGTCTTTGGGCATCTGCCCTCACAGTTCACTCCCAGAGCAGAGCCCCTGGTCATGTGAACCAGCAGCAACTGGGCATCTGTCTGTCTGAGCCCTGGGAGCCTCCCTGGCAGGGCTGGGGAGAGCCATACAGCCTGATACCTGGGATCCAACCTCGTGTTCTGTGTGAGCTGTGTCAGCACTGCCCCCAGGCTTCAGGCTGCCCATCAGGCAGTCACGTGGCAAGTGACCATGTCCCTGTTACCTGGCTGGCGTTTCCATGCCACCGGATTTTGGTCGTATTTATGTCCAGCGACACTGAAAATGGAGAGGAGGAGCCGATGACCCTGAAGGTCCATTTGGGGCCACTCCAGTCCCAGGCGATTATGTCATAGTTGCTGAGGGTATTGCCATCGTCATTAAATGTCACAGTGTTTTTGTGTAAAAGGAAATTCACCTTGCGGATCTGCTCCAGAAGCTGAAACAAACAGGGATAAAGGAGCTGGTGCTGATGACAGCAGCTGCTCCTCCTGGGTCCTCCCATACCCAGATGGCCCAGGAAGCAAGTGCATGGGACCTTGCTGAGCTTCTACCTGGGGCATTTCAGCCCACCTGGAAGTTTTGGTCCCTTCCTCAGCCCCCCTCCCCTCCTAGGAGGCCCCTTGACCCTCCTAACCAGCCTCCTGAGTGAGAAAAGCCTCTAACAAGGCAGCCCTTTGCAGAGCTTTCAAACCCTGGATCCGAGGCCTGGTGGGTGGGTGGAGCCGCAGCTCAGAGAAGACCAAGACCAGTCTCATAGAAGGGATCAGCCTCTAGCGGTCAGCCTTTGCCCCCCACACCCAGCATTTAGGGTGGCTGAAGAGTAACCACGCTGCCTGCCTTAGGAAGGCAGATAGTGGGTGCCAATGGCTGGTAAGTGCCTTACCTGCCAGGGGTAGACCCGGCCCCTTGAACAGGCTCCAGAGGTGCAGCCCAGGAGCTGGTGGAGGCCATGGGCCACGGTGTAGACAGCCTGGTACGCGTTGTAGGCAGAGCTCATGGAGAACTCTGCTAGCGTGGGCATCGCCTGTGCCGTGAAAGCCCAGCATTCTGTACACAGCTGGTTGCTGCTGCACCAGGAGCCCTGGGGGCAAGGCCTGAGAACTCCTTTGTTGGCCCGGACATAGGCCTCTTCAAACTCCTTCAGGCCAGGGACATGCCTGTGCGGGATGGCCACACCCAGCACTGTGCCGATGCCCTGGATCCCGGGCAGGCTGTTGATGTGACTAGAGATGGCCCAGTCTTCTGTGGCGATCCACACCTTGGCAGTCAATTTGGCCAGCACCACAGACTCAAAGAACACCCTGGCCACCTGTCTGCCGGAATAAACCACTACGACGGTGGTCCTGGCTTGGACCAGGCAGCGTATCATGCTCTGCATCCGCTCGTCGCCCGGTCGGGCGGAGAAAGGCACAATGTCCCTGAAGGCAACACAGATGCCCTGCCGGGTGACCTGGTACTCCAGTTCCTGTATCCCTACCTCCCCGTAGTCACCTTCACCACCCACGATGGAGATCCAGACCCACCCGAACCTCTGCAGCAGCAGCACCAAGATGTCCACCTGGTGCTTATCACTGGAGATGGTGCGCAGAAAAGAGGGGTAGAGCCTCCTCGCATTGAGCACCATGCTGCTGGCTCCATAGCTGACCTGTGGAGTTCAGTTCAAGTTAAGTGGCATCAGCCTCGACTGAGGGCCCCCCAATGCCAGCCCTGTGCTGGGTGTGGGGACATGGGAGTGGGAGGGGAGGGAGAAGGGGGATGGAGATGAGGTTCTGGCCTGGGGTCTCAAGCAGAGCACTGCTAAGTTACCCATGGAGAAGGAGGCAGGTCTCCAGAGAGAATTCTGGGAGAGAAAGGAGACTCTGGCCTGTGGACAAAGTGAACGCAACCTGCAAGCAGGGAGTGAAATGGTATATGTGTGGGGCCCTCCAGGGACTTCCACTTGGCTGGAAAGCTGGAGGGCAGATGCAGGAAGGAGAGCATGAACCTGTGTGTTCCGTCAGGGCAGGAAGGCTTAGCCACTACTTAGCCCCTACTCAGCCTAGCTGAGGTGCTAGGGCTTTACTCCAAGGCCACAGGGGGCCCCTCAGCGTTTAGGCAGCAAAGTGACATCAAACTTGTAGGAATGCATCTCTGATCAATGAGGAACCTGTTTAAAAAGGTTCAAGGCCAGAGTCAGAACTCCTAGGAGCTGATGGAATCATCTAGATGGGAGAGGATTGCAGTCAGTTAAAGCTGGGGCAGTGGCCATAGGGAAGGGATGGACCTATGTGGTTAAGGGGCCGCATGGCAGAGGCTGCAGTGATGGGCTAGATGTGGAAGCAGGCAAGGGAATGCAGCGGGCACTGGCTTCCTTGGAGACAGTCACTCTGTCACATGGGCTGGGGTGGGGGGGTGGATGTAGGAAGACAAGAGGCTTTTGTTATGGAGGAGGTAAGTTCATTTGGGGCCCTGGTGGCTCCAAGAAGTGGAGGCACTGGGTGAGCCTCTGGAGACAAAGCTGGTTCTCGGGAGTGGAGATGGAAGATGGAGATGGGAATTCAGCCAGGGCCTTCTGCTTGCCTGAGAAGGGGTGGGGTCTGTCCTAGAGAGTCACCTCATTCTCAGAGGGGGATGTAGGGGGGAGCAGAATTCCCTAAATGAAAACGAGAAGGAAGTGGCACAAGGGAAGAGGAGGTCATAAATGCTGGGAGAAAGTGTCCAAATGGTCAAATGGGTTGGAGACCTAGTGGTCCTCCACCAGTCCTTCTCAGCAAGACCTTGCTGGTTCTGCCTTGGGGTGGTCACCTGACCCATCTCCAACCCCTACCCAACCCGCAGTCACCACCTTCAAGCACTGCTCAAAGGACAGAGCCCAGGGTCATGGAGGGAGGAGTAAACGCAAAGAGAGAGAAGCAAGCAGGAATGGAGACTCTGCAGAGAAGTCTCCTTGGAAGGGGGAGTCAGCCAGGCTGAGAGGAGAAGAGCCCAGAGGATGGAGGGGGACAGGGCACGTGTGTCATCAGAGGAGGAGGCCCAGGAGAGGCTGATGAGCAGAGGAGGGGACTGACACCACACCTCTGAGCCTGAGCCTGGAGGAAAAGACGGGAGGAGGAGGGTGGGGTAGATGTGAAGCCTGTGGGGTGATGGGCAGCAGCCGGAGAGAGATGAGCAGAGGTTTCCAAGGAGAATGGACTTTCCGGTGAGCACAGAAGCAGGGAGATCTCAGTAGCAGCACTTGGAGAAGAAGGAACTCCAGGCAAGTGACTCAAGAGCAGTGACTGCCCAGGAGGTCCTGAAGTCCAGACCCACCGTGGGCACAGCAGCTCCTGCACACCCACCCCAGCCCATGTTGGACTTGCCAGGAGGGGAGATGAGTGAACTGCTAGGGCCCCAGCTTACCAGGGGCACCAGGAAGGGGCTCAGCAGGGCTGCAGTGGTGAGAGCGTGGCTGGTGATGTCAGGCCCGATCACCGCCACCATCGCAGGGGAAAAGTGGGCAGGGTCTCCCTGGATCTCCACATAGCGCCTCCCCAGCATGCTCAGTATGCTTAGCGTGGCATACATGTTGGCTGACTCTGAGCACACATCGTACAGCTCATACCCCAGGGTGACATTGGGTAGCAGGGCGGTGGAGTTGTTTATCTCCTCGATGCTGAACCGCATGGCCTGGAAGAGGTGGTAGCCATGGCCGTTGAAGCTGCTGGACCTGTAGGGAAAGCCAGGCTGAGAGCTAAGGACCTCTGGTCTCCGGGAACCCCAGGCTTGGGGGTAGAAAGGAACCTCTGAGGTCATCTGTCCAGCTCCTACAACCATGACCTCAACATGGGCCCTGGACCACACACACAGTTCTGTTGACAGGCCCTGGGAGAGGTGAGGGACAAATTGGAAAAGTACACATACCACGCCCCCCCATAAGCATATTAGGATCAAAAGACTCCCAAGTCCTGTAGGGGAGATATCTTCTATATTAGGGTTCTCCAAAGAAACAGAACCAAGATGAGACACATATATACATCTATCTAGCTATCTAGCTACCTACATATACACAGAGAGAGAGGGAGAGAGCGCAAACAAAAGAGAGGACTATCTTTTCCCCAGGGATCTCCATCTTTTCTCTTAAGACCTTCAACTGATTAGGCGAGGCCCAACTACACTATGGAGAGCATCTGCTTTATTGATTTAAATGTTAACCACGGCTAAAACATTAACCACATCACAGCAACATCTAGACTGGTTTAACCAAACCTGTCATGATTGTGGTGGGGGCCTGTGTTCCTCATGGCCTGTCTGGGAAACACAGACACGGGCACACTAGGGCCGTGACTCAGCCCTGCTTGAGGAGTGTGTCAGCCTGCTCCTTTTCCCAGCCTCCCCGCCTCTTGGGAGGCTCCCCCATCATTCCTACCACTTCTGTCCTTGAGTCACTGCAAGGAAATGTAGTACCTCCTGCCCGCGACAGCCCTTCAGTCACCTGAACCTGTTTTTTTAGGTATCTCCTCCTCCCTCAAGTCTCCTCTTCCCAGGCTCCCGATTGTAGCTCTTTGGGCCAGTCCTCCCACGCCAGGCTTTCTAGAATCTTCCTCCCAGGCTGGCTGGCAGGTATGCTACATATTTGGGGCCACTGAGCCATGAGACGTCCTCGAACTGATCAAATCTAATACTATCCCCTTTATAAGAAAAGCAGTTGCTTTCTTTTTTTTTTTCTACCTAGACTGTCCACTTCAGGAAGGCACCAACCTAAGTCATTCAGGCTACTGAAGCATCTTCTGCTATACGTCCCCATTTCCCTCCCCCTGGAGAACCATACTTGCAATCTGAGAGACTAAGGAGTGGGAACTGGGGAGGAATGGGGTAGGGAAGGAGTTGGAAAGCTTAACCTTTGCCTGCTAGTTACATTACAAAGTCAGGAAACAACTGATCTGGAATTATAATTCAAAGGACTCTTAACAACCAGGACAAAAGAATGCGTTGAAAGTGCCAGGGAAAGGCTAGCCAGCACTTAAAGGTGGTGGCTTGGCTGTAGGTTGGGCAGGGATTGGAGGCAGTCCAAATGGTCACGCCAGAGATAGAACCCACAAGGTCTTGCAGCGGCAGGCTGGCAGAGGACCCGAAGGCACAGGCCCCCCCAGGTGACCTCTCCCCCACTCACCTGTCACAGAAGGTCACCGTGGGTCTTCCTCTCGCCTCTAGAGGGGCACTGTGGAGAGGGAACATGCCTGCAAGCAGGTAATCCCCAGGGAGGCTGAAGTCGGGGGAGGACGGGGTGTTGTGGCAGCTGAAAGCCCAACAGCAGGAGAGGTAAAGCTGCAGGCCGACCAGGCGCACCCCCCAGAGTGACATGCTGGCCAGGCAGCCCTGTGCCTGGCATGGCCACGCCACACCCTGTGACCAGGTTGGGCCGTTTAAACAGAATGGTCAGCAGTTGCCCAGATGCTTCCCAGTTTCATGCCTATGAAAGGGGGCAGGATTAGAGCCCAGTTGTAGGGCTGTTTGCCTCTGCCTTCCGGGCCTGTGGTCCTCCTCAGGAACTGGGCAGGGTGAAGGCACAGGTGCAAAGCAGGTGGAACCCACTGACCCTTCCTCTGGACGGTTGTGGGTTCTCTTTGCTCTGGTGCCTGTGGCATTACCTGGTTAAGACAGGAATTTGAGGGGGGTCAGCTTCTCTGGGGGCCTTGAGGAACAGAATGTGAAAGGTTGCTCTCAGCGAGCTGCAGGTTTTAGAATCATTTACCTGGGCCTCAGTTTACCGAACGAGACAAGGCTTTGAGTTATACTTGTGACCAACCCCAATCCTCAGTCTCCTGAAACTGAAATTCTGAGTAAATCGTCCCCATTTCGCCTCCTTATACACAGTTGCTCCCTTCAGCTCAAAGACAAATGCATGCAAACGGAGGGTATGCAAACAGACCGGTTTTGTTTAAAACGTCAATCCTGGAGCTTTTTCAGTCGTGGGCGGGGGGGGGGGGGGGGGGGGGGGGGGTGGGGAGTCCTAGCTGGATTTCCGGAGAGGTGGCCCTGGACTTGGGTATCTGACTTTCCCTCTCCACGCAGCCGGGGTGAGGCTTTTGCATAATGTAAATGGGGCTCTCGTTGGGACTGCCTGGCCGGGTGTCGCCCAGGCTGTCCCTAGGTTCCACCGCCTCCATGGGCCCGAGCCACACAGCTGCCTGCGGAGGCCAGGGTGCGCCGCCAAGACCGCCGGCAGAGGGCGCCCGCGCCTTCGAGACCCTTGACCGGCCGCGGGGCGGAGCGTTGGGATCTCGCGAGATTCTCGAGCGACCGGCCCCCGGCAGCCAGCATGGCGGACTCCTTGCTGCTGCTAAAGCGGGTTCCCTCCCGCCACACGTGGCTGCGAGCCCGTAAGGCCCGGCCCCAGCTCATCCTCAGCCGCCGGCCCCGCCGCCGGCTCCGGAACCTGCGCTGGCGCAGCCGAAGGCGGCTACGGCGACGGCTGCTGCAGGCCCAGGCAGCCGGCGGGGACTGGCTGCAGGGCGGCTGTCTGGTGTCGGGCGCCGCGGCGCTCCAGAGGCTGAAGACCTCGGTCCGCAGGCGGGCCTCCAGCCCCGAGCCGGCCGAAGACCCGATCCCGAGTGGTCCCACGATCCTCCCTATCCCGCCGGTGCGGCCGGCTGGCCCGGGCCGCGCAGTCCTGCTGCTGCCGCTGGGGCAGGTGGGTCTCGCCGGGGGAGTCGGGCGGGCAGCGCAGGAGGGTGGGGACACAGCCCCGGGAGCTGCAGGCTGGGAGAGGCCCTTTTCCCCCTGCGGGTACTCTGGCCGCGGGTCAGGCGCATTCCTCGGGCGGTGGTGCTGGACAGAAGGTACCAAGTATCCTCCCGAGGGACTTCTAGGTCTTTGGGGCTGCTGCTGCTGTCACTTCAGTCGTGTCTGACTCTGTGCGACCCCATAGACGGCAGCCCACCAGGCTCCCCCGTCCCTGGGATTCTCCAGGAAAGAACACTGGAGTGGGTTGCCATTTCCTTCTCCAATGCATGAAAGTGAAAAGTGAAAGTGAAGCCGCTCAGTCGTGTCCGACTCTTAGCGACCCCATGGACTGCAGCCTACCAGGCTCCTTCGTCCATGGGATTTTCCAGGCAGGAGTACTGGAATGGAGTGCCATTGCTTTCTCCGTCTTTGGGGCTGGAGGGACTTTAATAGTAATAATAGGTTGCATTTATCGTGTGCTCAGAAATGCCAGGCTCTAAGTGTTGTGGGTATATGAACTCATTCAGTGCTACATGCTCTATGGAGTCATTACCCCTAGGAATGTTTAAAGAAAGAAACAGAACATAGCTTAGATAACCTGCCCCAAAGATATAAGTGGAGGCAGACCCAGCAGTCAAACCCTTCACCTGGACGTTGGGAGGTCCCCGCAGTACAGGAGGGAAGTGAAAAGCCGAGGAGAGAGGCTTCACCGGCACTGTAGCTTTGTCAGGACAGGGAGCCATGAGAACAGCAGAACTGACTTCAGGGGGCCCCCTTGGGTCCGTGTGCATCAGACTGTCCCTTTGGCTGCTCCAGGATATGATCTTAGGTTAAAAGTATTCACATTTTAATCTATTAGTTTAAAATACTACATCATTACCTACAAGGTATTCTGTTGCTTAACAGTTCATCTCTTTTTTTTAATTCATCTCCTTTTGATAACCTGAAGAGCCAGTTAAAATCTTAGAAGTTTTCTGTCATTGGGAACAGAATCTGTAACTTTATTTCTTCCTTTCTTTTTTCGTTCCCTCTAGGGCTTTACTTTTAGTGGGATCTGTCGTGTGACCTGCCTCTATGGCCAGGTGCAGGTGTTTGGTTTTACCATCAGCCAAGGCCAGCCTGCCCAAAATGTCTTCTCTACCTATACCCACTCTCGCCTGACCATCAATGCTGTTCATTATTCAGTGCATGAGAAAAGCAAGAAGGAGATGAAGAGAGAAGCCCGGGTTCTGCTCAGACCTTATCTGAACCAAGGTAATGAAGAGAACTGAGTGACTTACTGAGGATGTATCATAATAAGGCAAAAACATTTTTTTTTTTTTTTGTCCACACCCTGCAGCATGTGGGGTCTTAGTTCCCTTGGTAGAAACCCATGTTCCCTACAGTGGAAGCTTGGAGTCTTAACCACTGGAGCACCAGGGAAGACCCAAGGAGATTAATTTTTAGATGTTTACTATGGCTTCAAACTTGCACTCTTTACTTTATGTATTTAAACCCTCACCAAGGTCTGGAGAGTGAAGCTATTTTTACCATTTCACAGATGAGGAAATTCACCGAAGGCCACACAGTGTTTAGGTAGCAAACCTGGATTGACTTCTCCATCCAAGTGTGTTTCTGTCATGCAGTATGGCCTCCTGAAAAAGGCTCTCATACATGATTCCTAGTCTCAAACGGTGTGGACTTTAGCAGAGGAGAGGAAAGTCCCTCAGGGCATAGCGTTTGATTGAGTGCTGTTTCTAAGGCAGCTTATGTCTCTCTTTACAGATGACAGATATTGTTTGATGAGCAGTTTTTCTCCTCTGTGTTCCATCGTGTTGCTGGAACGTCTGAAAACCTCCACCGTGAACTTCATAATCAGCCATCCAGGTTTATCTTACATTTTCGTACAAGAGGTAGAACCAGTTTTCATTCAGAGTTTTGCTCATTACTTTCACCAAAACAGTCAGATAACTACGTAGGATGCCCCTAGTCTTAATCTATCTGTCATGTTGTGCTGTAAGTCATACAGAATGTAGCACACGTGTACAGTGAAAAAGTCAATAGACGGATATATCGGAAAAGTTGTCTCTTCTACCCCACTTAGCTTCATTCCCCAGATAAAGTCACCATTTTCTGTTGTAGTTGAATTAAATGTCTTTTGGTATTTTTTAAAATGGTTATCTTTATATTTTGATTCACTAACTTGAGACAGTATGAATTTTCTCTAAATTCTGAGTAATTTCAGTGTACTTACACTTTCTCCCATCTCTCCCTTTCCTCATTTCCAAATTTTTGCTGCCCTTACTATTAATTTCCTGAAGTCAGATTGGTTCCTAAAATTGTCTCCCATGAGCCAGTAAATTGAGCCAAATCTATAGGAACATCAGACAGACTGGATGTGAGGTGTGAGGAGGAATCAGGGAGCAGCAGCAGGTTTTTTGGCCCGACTGTCTGAGTGCACTGAGACATAGGGCTGTGGAGGAGACAGGTCTGTAGCTGAAAGATGCCTCTTAGACATCCAGTTGGAGATGCCTGCTGGGCGGTTGAATGTGTGAGTCAAATTCAGAGAAGAGGTTGTGTGCATGCCTGTGTGTTGAGTTGCTTCAGTTGTGTCTGACTCTTTGCAGCCCTATGCACTGCAGCTAGGCTTCTGTGACCTTGGGATTCTCCAGGCAAGAATACTGCAGTGGATTGCCATGCCCTCCTCCAAGGGATCTTCCTGACCCAGGGATCGAGCCCATGTCTCTTATGTCTCCTGCATTGGCAAAAGGGTTCTTTACCACTGAGCCACCCAGGAAGCCCAGAGAAGAGGTTTTAAATGTAAATTTGGGTGCTTTCAGTAGACTAGGCTTCCATTGCTTCTTGGCCTTTGGGCTAAGGTCAAGTGTAGTATCTGTTCTTATCAGAAGAGGGTTGCAAAACCCATGAGATGGGATAATGACACCAAGAAGCTGATGCAGTTAGAAATGAGAAGTTCAAGACCTGAGCCTGAGGAGCAACAGAGAGACTGAGGAGTGGTTGTGCTGATGTTAAAGGAGAGCCGGTGAATGTAATCAGGGAGCCTCTGAAGGAAGTTGGGGCGCCTGATGCTGCTGATGGTGAGATGAGGCCTGAGAAGGGAATTGCGTGCAGGCTCACCTTCTGGACAAGGTGGTTTCAGGGCATTGCTGAGCAGGCCATCCTGATCGGAATGGAATCAAGAGCTGGGGAAAGAGGATCTCAAGGGTTCAGTGGTTATGGATTTTGCTTTTAGAGAGTTTAGCTATAAAGGGAAAAAATAGATGAAACAGGTTGGAAGAGTAAGCCTGGTCGAGAGAGTTCTGGGTTTTGTTCAGATGGATGGAAAGAACCACATGCTCGAACACAGCTTGTAGGAAAGAGCCACAGGAGAGCATGCTGATGGTGCCGTGGAGAGAGGATGGAGGGAGGGGTCTGTCTGTGTGGTCTGTTGGCCTTGGGAGCAGAGGCGCTTCCTTGAGAGTGGCTGGAGGAAATGCCCAGGACAGGGATGGAGCAAGCAGAAGCTCTCTTCTGACTGTTTCCTCTTGCTCTGTGAAATGGATCGGGGTGTCACTGAGTGGGGGCATAGGGAGTAGGCAGGGGTTGGGGGTTTGACATGGAAGGAGAGAGAAGCTAAGTAATACGAGCAGGATGATTCACGGGCTCCTGTGGTCACATTAATTTAGTCCAGTGCAGAATCTAGCAGCCCGGGAGGGCCACAGAGATGGACATGGAGACCCCACCTGACAGTGAGCGTTTCAGGTGCTGTGATCAAACCTGTTCGTTTTTCACTTACTTTCAGATTTTTTTTTTCCTGTAACTTACTCAAGCACCACTATTTAGATTCCTTATGATCTTTCTTAGATAACTTCCCCCACCCCCCAAGCCTATGTGTTAGTACATTCCGGAATTATATTTTCATATAAGGCAGAGAGTAACCTTTAGATTATCTCATTTTATAAGATATTCTTATTTTGCCCTCAGTGATTGATAGTTGAGAATCAACTGAGAGGTGAGACGAAAGGAGGGATCAGAGTTATCTTTTTTCTCCTTTTTAATACTTATTAGCCGCCCCAGGTCTTAGTTGTACCTCTCAGGATGTTTAGTTATGGCATGCGAAGTCCCAGTTGCAGCTTGTGGGATCTAGTTCCCTAACCAGGGACCAAACCCGGGCCCTCTGCATTAGGGGTGTGGAGTCTTAGCCACTGGACCACCAAGGAAGTCCCCAAAGTTATCTTTTGTAGCTCACAACTATTTGAGGCTTATTAATTTCGAACCAAAGTAAAAGAAGCACATTATGTTGTTATTTTCAGGTCCGGACTTTCCAGATTAACTCTGAGTATTTTGCCTTGAGATCTGTGGGTATTAGAAGAGAGAAAAAAAAAACTGGTTTGCGTTTAACGGAGAGTGCCTTTGCAGCCATGGAAGAGTTAGTGAGCATTTCTAGCGGTGAGTGATACAAACTGATGTAGTCTAGCATTCATCTGCCAGAGCCTCAGAGGATTACTGTTAATGATCAGAGTCCTAAAGACGACGGCTCACGTCAGGGGTCAATGTTTGTTTCCCCTCCAGAAGAAGTAGACAGCTGCCCTGTCATTCTGGTTTGTGGCTGCCAGGACATTGGAAAGTCAACATTTAATAGATACCTCATTAACCAGCTGTTAAATAGGTAAGAGTTTTTAATCCTGTTGTGACATATTGCCAGACTTTCAGCAGGAAGTAGGATTTTTTATTTGAGAAGCTAGATGGGAATGCATCTCAGCTCTTCCATAGAGATGACATACAACTCTGTACAAAGCCGCTCAGCCGAGGGAGGCCTCCTGGTTGTACTGTTTTGGCGTGCAGCTATAGCGCGCTCAGGTGTACCCACCTCGCCTGTCGGGGAGCTCACAAGAGCCATCAGTTGATCTCAGAATCTGTTTTTGTCCAAACCCAGGGAGTCAGAGCGGGGATAAAGTCTGTCGTATTTAAAAAATAAAGTTTGAGGAAAGGCAGAGTTATAACCACATAGCGCTTGGACACTGTAGCCAGGCCTGCATCCCGTTTTCTCTTCACTGATATTTTCTGTGTGCTGGTGTCATCTTTGGAGCATTCTGCCTACAAGGCTGTGTGGGGTGGGATATGCCTGTGTGTCACATAAAATCTTTTATGTTCTGATTTACCTTGGACACGGTAAATAAAACGAGTTAAGATTTCTTTCTTTCTTTAAAATTTTCAGTATATGCTGCGTTGATTATTTGGAATGTGATCTGGGGCAGACAGAATTTACTCCTCCGGGTTGCATTTCTTTGCTTAATATTACAGAACCAGTTCTAGGTATGTATTCTGCATTTCTTAAATGTCTTGGTTTTACACAGTACAAAAGTAATGATACAAGAAAGTCAAAGAGTACAAAAGTATAAAATATAAAAAAATAAACACATCTCCCCATGAAACTTATGGTCTTCCCATAAGTATTCTTCTGGTCTCAAAAAAACCCCTAAAAACTGAATGATACCTTTCTAGGGTTCTATTTTAATAAATGGAACTACCATCCATTTTATTTTACGTAAATTAGAAACACTTTCTTCTAATACGAGCATTTTACATAACCCTACACAGTGATCTCAACCAAGAAATTGACATTGATATAATACTATTAACTAATCTATAGATTTTTTTTTAGAATCCATTAGTTACCCTAATACCCTTTTTATGTTTCAGAATCCAAATCAGAATCCCTTGCTGCTTCTTTTTAATAAAAAAATGTACATAACGTGTTATTTATCATTTTGACTATTGATACATGTACAGTACTGTGGCATCAAATACATTTGAAACACTGTATAATCATTACCACTGTCTGCCTCCAAAACAGTTTCCTTGTCCCAGACTGAAATGCTGTGTCCATTAAATAACAGTGCATCCCCTTCCACCCTCTGAGGACCTCTGATGTGCTGCCTGTCCCTCCCTGTGAATCTGCCTGTTCTGGGCACCTCATCTAAGTGAAATCATGCAGTACTTGTGCTCCTGTGTTAGGCTGTTTTCACTAAATACTTAGTGAAAATACTTAGAGGTTTCAAGATCTGTTCATATTGTTGTTCGGTCGCTCAGTCATGTCTGACTCTTTGCGACCCTATGGGCTGCAGCACGCCAGGCTTCCCTATCCTTCACCATCTCCCAGAGTTTGCTCAGACTCATGTCCATTGAGTTGTAGCATATGTCAAAATTAACTCCTTCTTGTGGCTGAAAATCATTCCAATGTATGTATATCACATTTTGTCTGTCTTTTTAACTGTGGTTTTATTTATTTATTTTTGATGGTGCTGGGTCTTCATTGCTACCCACGGACTTTCTCGAGTTGCAGCAAGTGGGAGCTACTTTTTGTTGCGGTGGGCAGGCTTCTCATTGTGGTGGCTTCTCTTGTTGCGGAGCACAGGCTCTAGGGCGCCAGGGCTTAGTTGCTCCATGACATGTAGAATCATCACAGATCAAACTCTGTCCCCTGCATTGGCAGGCAGATTCTACCACTGGACCACTGGGGAAGCCCCTGTGTTGTTTCTACTTTTCTGCCTGTTGTGACTAACGCTGCCATGAATATTGGTTACAACTATCTGTTCAAGCCACCGCTTTCAATTCCTTTGGATATATATACATATACATACATACACACCCACGAGTGGTCATGTTTAACTTTTTGAGAAACTGCCAGACTGTTCTATAGCAGCTGCACTGTTTTATGTTCCCATTGGTAAATCACAAGGGTTCTGATTTCTCTACATCTTCAACAATACTTGTTATTTTGATCATGGCCTTTCTCAAGGATGGAAGTAATCTCTTTTTGGTCTTGGTTTGCATTCCCTTAATGACTAACGGTGTTGAGCCTCTTTCTAAATGTTTATTGGCCATTTGTACATGTGCTTTGGAGAAATGGCTGTTTTAGTCCTTTTCCCACTGTTGAATTGGGTTCTTTGTTTTTGTTGAGTTTTAGGAGTTCTGTGTATATTCTGGATGTTAATTCCTTGCTAGATATGCAATATGCAGATACTTTGTCATTTTGTTTGCTTTTAATAATATCCTTCAATGCACAGAAGTTCTTAATTTTTGTTTTTGTTGCATATGCTTTTTGGATCATCCATGTTGTTACTAAATCTAGTCTCATAAAGATTTTCTGTAATGTTTTCTTCTAGGAATTCTGCAAGTTTTAGCTCTAGCACTTAGGTCTTTGATCAATTTTGAGTTACATTTTGTGTTTGACACAAGAGAAGGGTCTTACTTCATTCTTATGTACACGGATGTCCAGATTTCATTATCTATTTGTTCTTTCCACACTGAATGGTCTTGACACTCATGTTGAAAATCATTTGACCACACATCCATACATCTGTGTGTGCTGAGTTGCTTCAGTCGTGTTCGACTTTTTGCGACCCCATGGTCTGTAGCTCACCAGGCTTCTGTGTCCATAGGATTCTCTTGGCAAGAATACTGGAGTGGGTTTCCATGCCCTTCTCTAGGGGACCTTCCCAACCCTGGGATGGAACCTGCAGTTCTATGTCTTCTGCATTGGCAGGTGGGTTCTTTACCACTAGCGCCACCTGGGAAGCACATGCGTGCAAGGATTTTGTGTGTGTGTGTGTGTGCTCTTTATTCCATTGGTTTACACGTAGCCCTTAGGCCAGTACCACACTTTTAATTACTGTACCTTTGTAAGAAGTTCAAAATTGGGAAATGTGAATCCTCCAGCTTTATTCTTTTTCAAGATTGTCTGGTCATTTTGAGGCCCTTTGCAATTCCATATGAATATTAGAATAGGCTTTTTCATTTCTGGGGAAAGGGCTGGTAGAATTTTGATAGGGATTGTATTCAATCTTGTTTTTCACTTGGCTGGGTGTCGAGGCATACGGGATCTTAGTTCCCCGACCTTGGATCGAACCCACGCCCCTGCAATGGAAGCATTGTCTTAATCACTGGGCCACCAGGGAAGTCCCAAGGATTGCATTCAATCTGTAGATGAGATAGTATTAACATTTTCCTATCCATGAACACAGGATGTCTTTCTCTTTTTTTTGTTTTTGTTTTGTAAATAAGTTTATTTGTATCATTTTTTAGATTCCACGTATAAATTATATTTGTCTTTCTCTGTTTGACTTACTTGCTGCTGCTAAGTCACTTCAATCGTGTCCGACTCTGTGTGACCCCATAAACGGCAGCCCACCATGCTCCGCCGTCCCTGGGATTCTCCAGGCAAGAACAGTGGAGTGGGTTGCCATTCCTTCTCCACAGGATGTCTTTCTAATTATTTATGTCTTCTTTAATTTCTTATGCAATATTTTACCTCCTTGGTTAGATTCACTCCTAAGGATTTAATTCTTTTAGTTATTGTAAATGCAATTGCTATTCTAATTCCCTTTTCAGATTGTTAATTGCTGGTGTGTAGGAACAGTACTGATTTTTGTGGGGTTTTATTGTTTGTTTTTGTTTTTTCTAATTTATTTATTTATTTATTTATTTTTATTATTTTTTAATATTTATTTACTTGGCTGCGCCAGGTCTTAGTTGTGTCATGCAAGTTTAGTTGTAGCATGTGGGATCTAGTCCCCTGACCAGGGATTGAACCCTGGTCCCCTTGCATTGTGATCACCGAGTCTTGGCCTCTGGACCACCAGGGAAATCTGTTTTTTCTTATTTAAAAAGTTTTTTGTGTGTGTATGTGGTGTGTTTTTTTTTTTTCTTCCACAATTTTTTGTTGTTTTCGGCCACGCAGTGCAGCTTGTAGGATCTTAGATCCCCAATTGGATCAAACCCAGGCTCCCAGCAGTTGAAGCGCAGAGTCCTAACCGTTGGACTGCCAGGGAATTCCTCTCTTTTAGCTGGTTTCGTTGTTCCTCTTTTTACATTTTCTCTGTTCCACTTAATTTTTTTTTTCCTTTTTTACTGTATTTTTAAAAACAAGGCCACTGATACATCATCATAAATACAACCATCAAAATCAGCATAGTGATATTGCTATAGTGTAGTTACTCGGTTTTGTCCATTTTGTCTCAGTCATCTGTGTAGGCCCACTGTGTACTTAAAAGTCTTTAGTCTTCTCTAATATAGAGACTGTTATCTGACTTTTCTAATCTTCTGTAACCTTGACAGTTTGAAGAGTACATTTGTGGTTTTCCCATATTTAGACCTAGAAGTGACACTGTGTTCTCTGTGTCGTATCAACATGCTGTCAGTTAGTCCTGTTACCAGAGATGTTAGCTTTGATCAGTTGTTTAAAATGGTGTTTTCTGATCTAACTAGGTGTGGTGTTTTCGTTTTCTTCTGGGTGTCATTGCCCCTCGGTGGACAGTTAGGGAATATACATATACTTAAACCCATACATGTCATATATGTACACACATAATATGTGTGTATATTTGTGCACATATATGTACATACATATTTTGATGTCTTTGTATAGGTTTCTGTTCATTAAGAGCCATGAATTTGCACTGATCACTGTTTTTTGTTTTTTGTTTTTGGCCGATCTGCGTCGCTTTTGGGATCTTGTCCCCTGAGCAGGGATCCAACCTGGTCCCCTGCAGTAGAGGCACAGAATCCTAACCACTGGACCAGCAAGGAATTGTGACCATTCAGATTCTAATCTCGCGCCCAGGGTTCATCCTAGTTAGCCTTCCGCCTTCCACATTTATCAGCCCCCTTTCCAATGGTGAGAACCCTGGCTGCAGTTATTCTCAGTGTATTTACATATTTGTTCATTCCCTTTGTATTTGCTCAGTCCCTAGACCACCAGGCCACTCTTAAGTTGTGGGCTGCCCCAAGTCCCCTGACTCCAAGCTTGAGGGGCGCCTCGCCAGCTCTTCCCTAGGTGGCCTCGCGCCAGCCGCACTGACCACGGCCCTTGTGACTGTGTTACGACATGGTCTGGTCACCTGCCTGCCATGGGTGCTGGCCCCGGCCGCAGCCCTGACCAGAGGGGATGGGAAGTGGCTTGGGCTAGACAGAGTGCTGTTGTGATAGGGTGTGTCCTCTCAAGCTGGACTGCTTGAGTTCAAGTCCCACTGATCCCTACTAGCTGTGTGACCTTGGTCAAGGTAATCTCTTTCTCAGATTCCTCGTCTATAAAAATCAAGAAAGTAAATACTACCTGTGTCATGGGGGTTTATGAAAACTAGAGACTCTGTAGCACATGTAGGACATAGTAAGTACTGTGTTCCAGCAAGTGATTACTGTTGTTATTAATTATTGTGTGTAAACCCTGTGGGGGTGTTTTTTCTGTTCACAGATGTGTCCTAAATATCTAGAACAATGCCCAGCATGCAGTAGACATCCAGTAGATGTTTGTTGAATGAATGGCCATATTAGGATGTAGTTGGGGCTAACTGTATAAATGCAGATGTGTCTGTGTTTGAAATTGAAAGCTTAGATTTCCAAAAGTGAGAGCGTAGCTATTCCTAGTGGTCGGACAGGCTCAGATTTCCTGAGCAGCTTCGTCAGGGATCATGACTGGACCACAACCCTTGCCACCTCTTAGGTTCTCATGTATCGATGACTCTCACCTTTATCTTCTTAGGACCACCTTTCACCCACCAGAGGACACCCCAGAAAATGGTCTATTATGGGAAAACTTCTTGTAAAAACAACTTTGAAAACTATATTGAGGTAATAAAGTATGTTTTCAGCTCCTACAAGCGAGAGGCCCCTCTTATCATCAACACCATGGGCTGGGTGGCAGGTAAGTCCGTGGAGGTGCATCCGGCAGGAAGGGTTGGGTGATGGGAACGGGTGCGTGCGAGGCATTCAGATGTTAGTCCTGAAGCCCAGTCCTTCGGAGCCTCCTTGTCTCAGCCTCTCATGGGCACACATCACCACCCAGATGCACTGACTGGGCTCTGTCGTTTACTTCCTCACAGACCAGGGTCTCCTGCTTCTCATCGACCTGATCCGCTTGCTGTCGCCCAGCCACGTCGTCCAGTTTAACTCTGACCGGAGTAAACACATGCCAGACCTCACCCCCGACTTCGTGGACGACATGGACGGCTTGTACACAAGACGCAAATCCAGAGTCAGAAACAGAGGTTTCCACCTGCCTGAATTTGCTGAGAGTTTGGAGTTTGCTGACGAAGAAAAAGAGAGTCCAGTTATGTCTACGGGATACAAGCTGATGTTCGTGAAGTCGGAGTTTGTGACTGGAAAAACACCCAGGAACAGGTAAGCAGACCATCATGGCTGGAGAATTCTGTTTTCTTCAGTCTGACAAGGCCTTCTGTCCTTGATTCCTTCAAAAGGGTCAGTCCCCTAAAATCTTTCAGATCTCCATCTGAGCTACCTGTTTACAGAGAAGTCAGTTCTGTTTCGAATGGTTCCTTTCCCAGTGGAAATGCCCAGAATTGGTCTCCAGGTCTGCTTGCCCCTCTAGGAGCTTTGACCTGAAGGATCTCCAGTGGGTTTATGGAGAGGCAAGGTCTACAGGTCCCGAGGTTCGGACATGGGCTGTGTCAGGACAGGTGGGCCCTGTCTCTGAGCGGGAGGTGGGCCTTCTCACCTTCTTCTGATTTACTTTTCAGAGAATCACATAACAGAGTCCTTCGTGAGCTGGCAGTGCTGGGTTACCTGAGCCAGTTGCAGCCCCCAGTGCCGAAGCCACTGCGTGCCTTACATGGTCTGACCCCCTATCAGGTAACCTGAGCTCTCAGGGGGATTGTCTGACTTCCTGTGTGCCTGTCTCACCTCTTTATACTCTTTCACTCATGTCATCCTCAGCCCTGAGGTGTTGATGTGGGAACTGTGCCCATTTTACAGACGGGAGCTGAGGGATCCGGTGGGAGTGGATCCAGCTCCAGAGGGGCTGACCCTGGTTTCCATCCCAACCAGGAATGTTCTGCCTAACACCAGAGGTGGCCCTGGGACCACACGCTGCAGCCCAGCTCCTCCATTCTGCCAACTGGCCGCCTGTGACTTGGGCTGTGAGCGGTGGTGATGGGCCTCGCAGAATGTGCGTTTGCCCGGAGAGTACTCGTAACGTGTTTCAGATATTGTCACAGGCTGATTCTAGCTCTAAAGTGTGTGCATCTTGGATTCCAACCTCTGAAGGATTGTTTTGGGAAGAAACCACCATAGTATTAGGGTCCCAGATGATGAAAGAATCAAATAGGAACAGGTGTCATTTCTGTGCTGGGCTCTCCTCTACTCACCGAGGCCAGGGGCAGACTCAGCTTTCCCACAGGACATAGGAAGAGTCTGGGCTGGGACTGGCTGGCGCCCAAGTGGCCTGACTCTGGACCAGAGCCCTCAGTCCGCTGTTTGGCCTGTGCAGTGCTGAGCACACAGTGCGCCAGGCACTCTGTTGCGCCTGCGGGGAAGGTGCTGGTACAGACCCCGCTTACAGCTAGAAGACTGGGCGCAGGCAGGCAGGTGGAGATGCTGGGCGGAGGTCGCACAGGCAGGGGCCGTGACCAGGGAGTGTGGGGTCAGGGGGCAGCATCATGTTTCCCAAGCCCAATGGTGAGATTGGCCCCAGGCTTCCAAGCCCCCTCCACTAAAGAACCCAAGGCAGTTGGTTTAGTAGAGTTTTGGGGTGATTTGCTCCAGTTTGTACTCATTGGTGATGCTCTGTAACTGGACTTGAAACTTATCTGGCAGTAATGTAAACTGCCATTTGTTACAAATTCACATGTGTTTTTGAAGCCTAAATAAAATGTTTAAGAAAATGCTTTTCTATTTTAAAAGTTTGTAGTTACCCAGAGAGTTACATGTTAAAAGTAGTCCTTTACTGGGTGCTCCAGGAACGTGGTCCATTTTTCTTAATTCAGTAATTCCCTCGGGGGGCTTCTCCTCACTCTGTGGATGTTTACTTCCTTCCTCCCGGAGACCTGTTGGTGATGAGTTTTCAGTCTCCCTCCTACCTTCAGCTCATGCGGATGTCCCCAAATTCCCATCTCATGTGTCTCTTTTTTTGTTGTTGTTAATTTTCTTTTTTTTCTCATGTGTCTCTTTAGACAGAGTTGCAGGCATTCAATTTAGATTTCTAGCAAGTGTTGTTGATGTGCAGGAGCTTTGTGTAATTTTCCTAGGTTCTCAGTGTAAAGCAGTGAAACACTAAACAGTTTCCATTCTGTTTAGATATGTTTCGGTGGGCAGTTTGACAGATAAAACTTCAGATAGATGACTCGCCAGCTTGTAGAAACTATTAACACAAGCAGTCTTTTGAGTCAGATCACTGGAGGGGGTGCACGTGTGTCCTCCAGGTTCCTTTCAATGCCGTGGCGCTCCGGATCATCCACGCTGACGTGGCCCCCACCCACATCCTGTATGCTGTGAACGCCAGCTGGGTCGGGCTCTGCAAGATCCTGGATGACGTCAGGGGATACGCTAGCGGGCCCATCCTGCTTGCCCAGAGTCCCATCTGCGATTGTGTGGGGTTTGGTGAGTCTGAGAGGAAAATCTGAGTGTAAACCTACTGAAATTGACCCACCTGAGCAACTGTAGATTGGCGGGGCTTGACCTTGTTGCTGTCATTTGCCTGGAGTGGTCAGAGAGCTTGTCTGTCCTCTGTGAAGTGGGCCCTGGGGGTGGGGGGCAGGAAGGAAGCAGTTCTTCTTTGCTTGTCCTGCCAGCTTCTCTAAACACAGGAGTCCTCAAGGCCTGGCCGGGCCTCCCTCTCATCTGACATGTTTTCTGTGGGCTGTCCCACAGAAAACTGCAGCTCTCGGTCCATCGTAGGCTGACCTCTGTACACGCTCTCCAGCACAACATCGGCTCCAAGCCCATGTTACCAGTCACTTTTCTGCTTAGTTGTCTCTCTGGCATCTAAGACTTCAGTCCGACACTGAGGTCCTGATAGATTCATCAACCGTTCCCTGACATTCAGCCCGCAACTCCTCCTCCTGCCCTGCACTGGCGGTGAATGGTCCTTGAAAGATTTACTCTGTATTTGGGTCAGGCCCCTGGGTCCTGCCTGGCACCCCTTTGTTTTGTTCATCACAGTCCACACCCCAGCCTGATGCCTTCTGGTTTCAGAGTGTCAGACTCCTCAGTCTCATCTGTTCTCACCCCGCGCAGTAGCTCGGTAGTTGAGGGGCACGGGTTTAGCTGCTCCGCGGCACGTGGAATCCTCCTGGACCAGGGATGGAACCCTTGTCCCCTGCATTGGCAGGTGGATTCCTCTCCGCTGTAACACCAGGGACATTAGAAAACTCATAAGCCATTCTGCAGTTCTGAGTGGTGGGGAGGATGATCTTGTGTGTTGTGTGTCCTCAAGGGATTTGCAGGGGGATTGACATGGAGAAGAGGCTTTACCACATCCTCACTCCCGTGCCCCCAGAGGAGCTGAGACATGTGAACTGTCTGCTGGTCGGAGCCGTGTCCATCCCACAGTGTGTTCTCAAGAGCCAGGTATGTGCAGCCCTGGAGCTTGCTGGCCATGTCCATGGCAAAGTGTGGACCTGAAGTTGGGGCGGGAGTCACAAAGCAGGTTCTGGTTTGGGAAACTTACACTCTTTTGTAGAAATGGACAAGGCCAGGTGACATGTCCACATGGCCTGAAGGTCTGGGGCGTGAGTCCCCATCACCTTGGGCGGGAGCCCCAGGTAGAGCCGTCATCGCAGGCATGGGTGTGGGAGAAAAAGCACAGACGTGGTGACCCCAGGGTGACCCTTCCTGAAGACAGTCTTCAGAGGCTCTTGTGGGAAGGTCACGGAAGGTCACATTGGCCAAGGGCATCCGTGTGGCCCCAAACCAAACGGCAGGACCTGTGGGCAGCTGGGGAGGCAGCCAGTGTCCCCCTCGTCACCTGCTGGTTCAAGAGAGAGCCCCATCTTTTGCTGTTGGACGTGTTTGGGGGGTTGAAGTGTAAGTGGGCCCTTCCAAGGAAGGGGAGCTGAGGATCTTAGGAGCGATCTAATACTGTCTTCCATCTTGGCCAGATTCTAAGTGTTCCACATGTTTTCTCTGTGTTTCTATTTCAGCGTGGGCTCGAAGGGACCATACCTTATGTCACAACAGATTATAATTTTAAGCTTCCTGGAGCATCAGAGAAAATTGGAGCAAGAGAAAGTGGGGCAACGTATAAAGAGAAAGGACATCCCAAAGCTAAGTTCTATCGAAAAACATACTGATGTTCTTAATATAGGAAGAAACCTTCCTCCCAGAAAGCTGGACCATCTCCAGCATGGCATCAGTGGACGATGGGGTTCTGTGACCACGAACAGAACAGCGTGCTTACGTAGCAAACAATACAGTGTTTCCTACGTGGCTCATGGATGTGTTTAGAGTACATATACTCTTAAATCAACATGACAGAGGTTTTCCCTAGTCTTCTGTTTCGTTTTCTGAAGGAATCAAGAAGCAGGGAACAGTTCATGCACCTTTGAAACAGAACATGGTCGATTCCTCATGAAGCTTTTCAAGGACCTGGTTGTTGGTATCTGGATAAAAATAGAGAAACGACCACAGAAATGTCTCGAGGGGGTAAGCAGGACATCTGGTGGGATGGAGAGCCTAGAAGAGTATAAAGTTGCCCTGTGGTCCTCACTTGGGGGGCGCTCCCAGCCCTGCTCACTGGATGCTCCCCAGCCTCTTCCGTACACATGGGTTGAGGATTATGCTTATATTTGGTGTTAAATTGATTCAAGGTTTCATAGATAAGAGTTTGCCTCAAGAACCCTTCATCTTTTAGAAATCTGATGCTGAAAAATTTTATCCTGAAAAAATGTTCTCAAACCCAGGAAGCCTGTCCTGGGGCCTCTTTAAAACTCAATTTGTCCTGATTGACTTCTCATCTGAGATGGAAAATGCACAGTGAGCAGAGCCGGGAACCCGGCTGTTTGGACCAAGGCCCAGTGGAGCGGCTCCTGCTATTGGTTTTAGTGGCTGGACATGAGCTCCATGCCGGTGGTGGTGCTGGACTCCCAGAGGCTTCGGAGGAAATGGTGGGCCCCCCTTCCTCGTCTCCTCCCTGGAATCAGCGTTCATTAACCTCCAGGGTTGGAAATGGTTTGGTAAACAGGCTGGCCAGTTCACATCACATCATGTCTGCGTTTAAGACCCTGAGATGCCTACAGTAGCAGCATTTCATCCTGGTGCTCTGAATTCCAGCTTCCAAGCAGGACGCCTGGAAGGACCACTGTTAGGATGTGAGGGTTTTACGGTTTACGTCCGTTTAAGGTGTTGATCATCATTGTCTTCAGTGTTCTGGGGACTGATCCTTCATCTCGTAGAGCCCTTGTCACCCTCCAGGATCAGCTTTGATATTTAGAGACCATTTAAAGTCTAGTTTCTTAGTTGCATCTTATTTATATCTAAGTTAACTTATACATACATGTTCTTCTATCTTGGCCTTGCAGCGACTTTTGCAGTCAATCTACTGTCAACTTTTTGCCTCCTTCACAAGTTCCTGTATCTTTACAATGATACTTAGGTCTTTAGCAGTAAGTCTTGGGAAGAATGAAAGTGGTGATCTGTCATATCCGTTTTCATTAAATCCTGACTCGCCCTTAGCCTGTTTCCTGCTGGCCTTTAAAGTTGCCCATCAGTTCCCATTGGTAAGGAAAATAACGTTGCCACTAGAGGGAGCTGTCAGCCATTGGTCAGCTGGCCATGGGGTGCTGGAGATGGCAGAGGATCCCCTGGAGGCCTTTCTCAGTATCTAGAGATGCTGGAGACGGCCCTGTGGTCAGCTCCTGGGTGTGCTAGTCAGACTGGCAGTGGTACACACACCCTGGGTGTTGGCCCGTTGGATAATCAGTGTTGATGGTTCAGGCTTCTGTCATTTCCACAGTGTATGTTGCTTCAGGATGGCCAGTGAGGGCTCTGTGTTGGAGATACACTTGACAAAAACTCCTGGGACCTCCCTGGTGGTCCATTGGTTAGAACGCTGCGCTTCCATGGCAGGGGGCAAGGGTTCAATCCCTGGTCGAGGAACTAAGATCCCGCATGCCCAGTGGGATGTGAAAAACCAAACAACTCTTAGTCATTTCTGTGTGCTTTTCAAAGTAGTACATAACTTATTTTAAGAAAATCAAAGGAATATATAACTTAGAACATGGAAACCCTCAGTCACTGATTTTTATGGTTTGTTAAAATCAGTACTTCAGACCTGTTTTCAGGACAGGTAAACATGAAAAATGGGAAAAAATCCTCCAATTTTAGGGTTGACTTAATTTTGTGAGGAAAGGTAGTTATGTTGTTCCCATCCGTCCCCAGTTAGGTCTTGGGGACAGGAACCAGTTTGTCCTCGGAGACCCCAGTGTAGAACTGAAGTTTGAGAAAGGGGAGAGGAGTAGGTGAGCTGGCCTTGGGATTATGACTTTTGAGAAAACAAACTCTTGAGATTGGCCAACTGGAGAGGATACAGGGGTGGAGAGGACATGTGGTGGGGCCCCAGCTGAGCCAAGGGGCCCCCCTTGCCAATACCAGGACCTCTGTGATGGGCAGGTCCTCACCCTCGCAGACACTCAGGTCTCTGCCTGGAAGATGGCGTGAGGACCAAGTGACATGGGATGGTGATTTTTAGATTGCTCATTCTTTCCCTTAGATTTGGGTGAGGCCATGTGGTTGTTACCAGAAGTCTGTGATGTTGGAGCTCTGAGTCCATGTCCTGACTGGGCCACCAGCTGGCAGTGTAGCTCTGAGGGGTGTTTCACTTGAGCCTGTGACCTTCTTTAAGATGGGTGGGTGGCGCTTCTCTTGGGGTCCCCGCATGAGGAAGGCATGAGACACATCCTCAACAGACCTAGCAGCAACTCCTGGCGTGTGGCCTGTCTCTGGCTGGGTTGTAAATCCTAGCAGACAGGAGGAAGACTGTGTTCCTCAAAGTCACCCTGGGTTTGGAGCAGAAACTCAGTGTTCGCATCTGAAAACATCTTGCCATGGCCCCCAGGCAGTGGCACCGTCCTTCCTGCTATGGGTCCTGCTCAGGCTTCCACCCATCACCTGCCCCTTGGAGTTTTTCATAAGCCCCACTACTGCTTTTAAAATCATGATGTCAGCTCACCTGCGTAGGAGACATCCTGAAGTCCACCACCGTGTTATCACTGTTGACGCCGTGACACTGTCTCACCCAGTATTTTTCTAAACTGCACATGTGCATTTGTGTGTTTTACAAACCTGTTTGTCCAACTGTATGTATGGTTTCTATCCAGCTTTTTTCACTTACATGTGAACTTCTGTATCAATAAATATTTTTGAGAATATAAATTTGTGTCATTTTGTTCCATATATAGATAGACCATTTTATTCCAGGAAATGGTTTGAATACTTAGAAGAAATGGCAGAAACATTGGAAGGGGGTAGTGAAACCGGGTGTCACGGCAGGGAAGAGGGGAGGCCCCCGCAAGCGCCCGCACCTTTTTCCTGTTTCATTATCTAATGGGGTAAGCTCCAAGGGAAGTTAGCTTCATTTCTGTTTTTGGGCTCCAAATGTTAGCCACATAGTCCTGACTGCCATTCCTTTCTCCAGGGAATCTTCCCAACCCAGGATCAAACCTAGTCTCTTGCATTGCAGGCAGATTCTTTACCATCTGAACCACCAGGCTCAAGGATGTATGTTACGTCACTCCTGGACTATCTTTGAGACTCTATTAGCAGGAAAAAGAATTTTGTTCCCAGAAGAGTACAAATAGAAAGGAAGCCAGCCAGCAGGCCGGGGGTCTGTGCCTGTAACTGCCTCTCCCTGAGCGACTGCTTGGCCCCTCTGCCCTCGGCCCTAGGGTGGGGCCTGGCGGAGGCAACGAGACTTGGCTGCCAGGCTGAGCCTGAACAGTGGCTAAGATAAATATGGGGCCCATCTGTGCAGTAGAGGAGACACGTGATGCAGGGCCTCCAGAAAGGTTTGGCCGAGTGAAAGAGTTCCAAGGCTTTGCCAGGAAAAGAAGAGGACAGAGGGTGGGCCGCGGGGTGAGGGAGCAGTCTGAAAGGAGCCACACTTGGAGTTGAGGGGCAGCGGGTCCAATCTGGAGATCCCGGGAGCTGAGTAAGCAGTTTTGGGAATCAGCTAACAGAGTCGAGCTGGGCAGACAATGTACTGGGCTGGGAAGCCAAGGGTTGCCATGGCGACTGGCCCCGATGCTGCTGTGGCGCTCAGTAGACTGTGCCTGGGGTGTTTCTAATGCTTCGGGGCTGGTCTCTGGGCTGTGAATGTCGGCCAGGCAGGGAAAAGCCACGAACTTTCAGGCCTTCCTCCCCGCTAAGGAGTCCAGCCGGGAAGGGTCTTCATGGCACTGCTTTCCTGGAAAGAAGGGAAGGCCCCCGCCGAGGCAGCCAGCAGTGTGAGAAGTGTGTTCCAGGGAGCACATGGGTACTTGGGGATGGAAAGTCCAAGGAGAGGAAACCGCCAGCAAGAAAACACGGTGCAAGCCCCAGCCCCCGAGTCCATACGTTAAAACATACAGCTCCCAGGGGGGCTGAGTCGGAGGAGAGGCAGATTGGCAGGGCTGAGAGCTCAGTGGTTTTCTGTGCAGACGACTCAGCTGGAGAAATTAAGATCGGGGCTGAGTTGAGGAGAAGCCCTCCAGGGTTGGGACTGCAGCCGGGCAGAGAGGGACGGAGACTGTGGGTCTAACACGTGGCTCAAGGGCCAGGCGAGGTGCCACCACCCGAGGTCAAACATGAATTCTGTCCTGACAAAACACGGGTCTCCACCGTGCAGCTGGCTCAGCCTCCATTCAGGAACCGGTGAGTATAATTTCTTCTTCTGGTTCAGAAAGGAGGGTTGAAGAGGAGCAAGAAAAGGGGATTTGGTGGGTTTTGGAGGGGCTTGGTTATGGCCCCTCACTTGCAGAATTTGCCTGGACCATTTGAGAACCCTTCCTGCAGGCTGGGCGCAATTTCTGTCCTAAGGGGTGATTTAATGAACTGAGAGCCTGGAAGGCAGGGTTGGCCATCAGCTCTGACTTAGGTGTGGGGAAAGGAGGCTTTCGGTTTCAGATATCCGACCCCTGAAAGAAGAAAGAACAGGGTCCTGTGTGAAGAGCTGCTCCACCGGCAGCTGCTAAGGAGGGGGGCTGGGAGGGCCTGCGGTGGGGGAGGCTCTCCACCTTCCTCTTCTGGGAGGTAGAAGGTGGGTGAGAAAGCAGCCCCCAGACTTTCAAACCTACAGTTTTGTGCATGAAAGCTGGGTCCCCAGTGGCAGGACGGCCAGGAGCAGGTTCCCAACTGTAGCTTTGTAGGGCTGCGACATTCCTCCAAAACCATCGATATTTGTAAGTTCACTTCTGATGCACGCCATGACGCATTTTGGCAATGGGGGATCAGGAATGGCGTGCGTGGACTCAAATAGGCTTCCGGCAACCCACCGTCAGAGCCCTGGCCTGGGAAACACCCTGTTCCCGGCCAAAGAGAAAATGGCTTGAAGGTATGTTAGCTGCTGGCCTCTTAGCACTCACAGAAGAGCCCTCATTCCGACCTTTGTCTGCCCACCACCCCCTCCCCACCCCCGTGGCTGGACCAAGACAGATTTAGGAAGCAGACAGTGAGTCACACAGAACTCTGAGCACCCACTCGACCTCCCTTCAGGGCCGTCCCCTCCCTGGGAAGGGTCTGCACTTCTGACGTACCTTCCTCTGGTTCATACCCCAATGAGAAACTTACCTACCATGGTGAGGTCTCTGCTGGGAGTGGCCAGAGAGTCAAATGGACAGGTGCCTCTCACGCTAATATATGAGCCTCCAGTGACCCATGTCCAGCTCACCCAAGATCCATCATGGCTCACTCACTGCAGGGGAGATTGTTTCCAGGCTTGTGTGAGATGTGGGCTACAGCCCCAAATCATGGCTGCCACAGGGACATCAGAGGATGGCCCACACCTGCTGCTTCAGTTTGTTTGTGTCTTTTAAATTAATTAATAATTTTTTTGGCCACACCATGAGGTTAGTGGGACCTTAGTTTCCTGATCGAACCAGATCGAACAGTGGAAGCTTGGAGTCATAACCACTGGACCTCCAGTGAAGTCCCTGATTATGTCTTTAAGCCCTTTACTGATTTATTTTTGATATTGAAGGACAACTGGTGTGAATTTCCTGGCGGTCCAGTGACTAAGATTCTGCATTTTCACTGCTGGGGGTGTGGGTTTGATCTCTGGGTGGGGAAGTCAGATCCTGCAGGCCATGTGGTGTGGCCAAAGAAGGGGGAAAAAGACACAGGACCACTAGTTATGCTTTTGCCATATTTCCAAGTTTTAGAGTTAAACAAGCTTTGGTGTAATATTTACTGAACTTGTATTAATTGTTGGGCATTGTGCCAGGGGCTGGGCTGGTGGTGGTGAGCAAGATAAATGCCTGTCCTTTTAGGATCCTACCACTGTGTGCCAAGGACAGGAAAACAGGAAATTGAAAAGCAGTTTGATGTGTATTAAACAGAGTGATGCGACTGTGGGGTAATGGGTTCATACATAAGAGAGGTTCCTCTTATAACACCCATCTGGGGGATTTTTTTTTTAATTAATTATGGGATTTTTTTAAGGAATCGCATCAGCAAAAGGATACAGTGGAATCGGTTGGGTAAAGACTATGGGTAGAAAGGTTAGATTTTAGGAAGAGAGAAAAGCAGGAGCTAGAAATGGCATTTTGTGCAGTATGATTGGGACACACATTGGAAAGACTGAGAAGTGGGTGGGCTCTTGTGGGTGCTGTGGGAAGGGGGGAGTATAAAGAAATGGTGCTTGATCCAGAGAGAGGATGGTCGAGCATCTTACAGAATTCAGATTTCATCCTTGGAGGTGATGAGCATTTAAGCATTTTTACAATAGCAGAGTAGGTAACATTTTCAGACTTGCATTTTAGAAAATCCTTTTTGATAGCAGTTTGGAGAGTGGATTTGGGGGAGTATGAGGAGGAGAATATGACAAAGAATCAGGAGGCTTCATGGTGGCTCAGATGGTAAAGAATCTGCCTGCACTGCAGGAGACCCAGGTTCGATCCCTGGGTTGGGAAGATCCCCTGTAGAAGGGAATGGCTACCCACTCCAGTAGTCTTGCCTGGAGAATTCCATGGACAGAGGAGCCTGGCAGGCTATACAGTCCATGAGGTCACAAAGAGTTGGACACGACTGAGCAACTAACACTTTTGGAATAATGCAAGTGCAAGGTGGTCATTTAAACCGTTTAAGTTAGCATATAAATATAAAAAGTACATACATGCACATATGCACAGGCATATGTATGTGTGCATACTTTGTTCTGCCTGTGTGTGTGTTAGTCTCTCAGTCCTGTCCATCTCTTTGCAACCCCATGCGGTGTAGCCCACCAGGCTCCTCTGTCCATGGACTTCTCCAGTCAAGAATACTGGAGTGGGGCCAAAGAACTGAACAGACATTTCTCCAAGGAAGACATACAGATGGCTAACAAACACATGAAAAGATGCTCAACATCACTCATTATCAGAGAAATGCAAATCAAAACCACAATGAGGTACCATTACACACCAGTCAGGATGGCTGCTATCCAAAAGTCTACAAGCAATAAATGCTGGAGAGGGTGTGGAGAAAAGGGAACCCTCTTACACTGTTGGTGGGAATGCAAATTAGTACAGCCACTATGGAAAACAGTGTGGAGATTTCTTAAAAAACTGGAAATAGAACTGCCATATGACCCAGCAATCCCACTTCTGGGCATACACACCGAGGAAACCAGATCTGAAAGAGACACGTGTACCCCAATGTTCATTGCAGCACTGTTTATAATAGCCAGGACATGGAAGCAACCTAGATGCCCATCAGCAGATGAATGGATGAGGAAGCTGTGGTACATATACACCATGGAATATTACTCAGCCATTAAAAAGAATTCATTTGAATCAGTTCTAATGAGATGGATGAAACTGGAGCCCATTATACAGAGCGAAGTAAGCCTGAAAGATAAAGACCATTACAGTATACTAACACATATATATGGAATTTAGAAAGATGGTAACGATAACCCTATGTGCAAAACAGAAAAAGAGACTCCTATGTATAGAACAGACTTGTGGACTCTGGGAGAAGGCGAGGGTGGGATGTTTCAAGAGAACAGCATTGAAACACATATATTATCTAGGGTGAAACAGTTCACCAGCCCAGGTTGGGTGCACGAGACAAGTGCTCGGGCCTGGTGCACTGGGAAGACCCAGAGGGACTGGGTGGAGAGGGAGGTGGGAGGGGGGACCGGGATGGGGAATACATGTAAAAAAAAAAAAAAAAAAGATACACTATGGTTGTGAAAAAAAAAAAAATTAAATTAAAAAAAAAAAAATTAAAAAAAAAAAAAAAAAAGAATACTGGAGTGGGTAGCCATTCCCTTCTCCAGGGAATCTTCCTGACCCAGGGATTGAACCCAGCTCTCCTGCATTGCAGACAGACTCTTTACCATCTGAGCCACCGGATGGTAAAGAGAGTGTAACAGGGAAGCCTTGTTCTGCTTATACAAGTAATATATTTTCATTATAAAATTCTCAAACAGTACATAAATAATGAAGCTATAAGTTCTGATTTTCTGTTATTTCCAATTGTATTTCAGATTTTTTCTCTGAATATTTACACAGGGCACATGCCTAAATATGCACATGTATGTAAAAATGTTGACATGAAACTGAGGAAAATATGCAGTTGCTTTTTCCAATTAATACTATATTTTGGACATTAAAACCTGCAGTATATAAAAGTCTACCTCATTCTTTTTAATGGCTTCATGATATTGATATGTATTGATATACTTAATTTTTAAACTGAGTCTATGAGTGGACATTTGGGGCTGTTTCCAGTTTTTCACTCCTGTAAGTGATGATGTAATGAGCATCCTTATACCTGTGGACTTGTGAAAGAGTATCTACAGAATACATTTCTGGGGGAAGAGGATTAACATTTTACATTTTTGAAAAATAATTTTATTTATTGGCTGTGCTGGACATTTTGCTTTTTAATGGCTAGTTCCAGATTGTCATCCAGAAAGCCATTTATCCCCAGGAGCAGAATATTTCAGTCCTTCATGTGCTTTCTATGTCTGGTCATCACCTGTCCCGAGCCTATCCCTGACACATGAGGGTGGGTGGCTGGATGGGTATCCTCTTACATGGTCTCAGGCACTTCTCTTCTTTGTCCACTCCCATTACTGAAATGCTGTGGCTCTTGGCTGAAGGACAAGGACAGCTGCAGGCTCTGACATCATGCCTCTGAAACTTCCACAGGTGGGGGGCATCAAGGGCACTCCATGATCCTCCTGTTATTTAGCCACTAAGTTGAGTTCGTGAACCTCATGGGCTGCAGCACACCAGGCCTCCCTGTCCTTCACTATCTCCCGGAGTTTGCTCAAACTTATGTTCATTGTGTCAGTGATGCCATCATGGTCCTCCTAAGGACCCTATTAGTAGTAAGTTTTTAACAGCATAGATTACAGAAGCAACTGACCTGTATTGAATCACAGCTCTCCTACTTGCTATCTGGATGACTGTAGGCAAGTCTAGCATTCTGAACTTTAATTTCATTATCTTCAAAGTGGCGACAACAGCAGTGTCTATCATCCAGGGTTTTGCAGAGCTCTGAGGAGACATGTGAATCTGCATCTGATAACTACAGTACCTCAAGTTTTTGTGGATCTGTTTCTGTTGGTTTTCAGACATAGGATCTTAGTTACTTGTGTGCCTAGTTATCTTTGACTGTGTTAGACATTGCATTTTAAGAATTATTTGCAAGAAAAATTTGAGGCC